GAGATGAGAAGGCAGAGAGGGTCAGGAGCTGGTTGAATGGACATGGGAAATCAAGGGTGGAAAGGAGGAGTGTGCTGTCACAGTACAGGGAGAGCAACTAGGGTCACATAACAACATGTGTATAAATTTTTGTATAATAGTCTAACCTGAATTGTAAACTTTCACTTAAATTACAACAATAAAAAAAAAAATATTGTGACTTGGGTCAGGCACACCTTAGTCCTCAAAGTGACAGCTTCACTTTTTAACACTTTAAAGAGGTCTTTTGCAGAGATTTGCCCAATGTTGTAGATACATCACTCCAATTTCTGCCTCCATCTTTACATGGCTATCTTCCCTCTGTGTGTCTTTGTATTCCTTCTCCTCTCTTATAAGGACACCATTCATATAGAATCAGGACTCTCCCTACTCCAGTATGACCTCATGTTAACCTAACTGATAACATCTTCAAAGACCTTATTTCCAAACAGGGTCATAGCCACAGGTATAGGTGCTAGGACTTGAACATAGCTTTTTGGGAGACACAATTCAATCCATAAGCCTGCCTCTCCCAACGTCCCAACTTCTTTGGCTGCCTGACGTTTTTCCGATACCAAACCAAACCCATTGCCATTGGGTGGATTCTGACTCATAGTGACCCTGTAGAACAGAGTAGAACTACCCCATAGGATTTCCAAGCTATAATTTTTACAGAAGCAGACTGCCACGCCTTTCTCCCCCAGAGGGCTGGTGGGTTCAAATCATCGACCTTTCAGTTTGCAGCCAAGTCCTTAACCACTTTGCCACCAGGGCTCCCGTTTTTCCAATAGCACGGATACATTACATAATGTTAAAATTTGCTTGTCACCTCCATGAGGGCAGGGACTTTTGTCTGTTCTATGCTCTATGGTATCTCCAGTGCCTAATACAGTACCTGGCATATACAGGTAGTCCCTGATTTACGAAGCACTCAAGTTACCACGAACCCCAATTACAGCCATCCTTTTTTTTTTTTTTTTGGTACATTTTATCATTATTAATATGTACTACATACAGGGATAATTACTCAATAAGCAAGGTACTCATGGGCTTTCTTGTGTTTACTTACTAACCAACCCATAGTGTACAATTTCGCCCGTTTTTTTTATCACATCTTTTTCATCATGGAGCCCTGGTGGCACAGTGGTTAAGCATTCAGCTGCTAACCAAAAGGTCGGCAGTTTGAATCCACCAGCTGCTCCTTGGAAATTCTATGAGGCAGTTCTACTCAGTTCTATAGGGTCGCTGTGAGTCAGAATTGACTCAGTGGCACTGGGTTTTTTTTTTCCCCACCGTGTGAAATTGTGCACTACAGATTAGTAAATAAACGCAAGTAAACCTATGCATACCTTGCTTACTGTAAGCCTGTGCATACCTTGCTTACTGGGTAATCTGCCCCTGACTACATGCAATGATGCAGCAGGTAATTTGCTGATGTTACCATTTTCAGATGTTCACTCGAAGATGTTCCATTTTCTGATTTACTGTTCAAAACACTGCCGTATAGATGTAGTTTCCTGAACTAAATCAGGGGTTTCCGTTGCTTGAAAACATAGACCCAAACACTGATCGCTTTGCTAATGTCAATGGTCAGATTGGGGAAGCAGTGAGATGTTATTACAAAATACATGAAGAGAAAAAAGAAGAAGACCAGACAGACAACTCTGACTAATTGTCTGACGAGAAATGCCATCCTTATTCCCAGGCATAATCCAGATGATCCAGAACTTTCCACAAGTGGAGTTATTACCACAGCTGACAAAACACCAAAGTCATCCAACTCTTCCTGGTCGGAGTAAATGTTTATGATTTGTGTATTTTTGTACGTATGTGTGTATTAAAATGTATCTGTAAGTTTATATGTAATGTTTCCAGTCCCCAAAGACAAATAAAGATCAGATTTACAAAGACACTGATAATAAAAGGCAATGATAATGAAAACTAAAAAAAAAAGAAAAAGTTATTCAACTTATGTCAGAACTGACTTACGAGGGAGTTGTCAGAATGGAACCCCTTCGTAAGTTGGGGACTACCTGTAGTAAGAACACAATAAACGTGTTGAATAAATTAATATAATGTTGATGTTATGTACCATCAAGTCTGTTCTGACTCATGGCGATCTCATGAATATACAGTGAAACCTGTGAGAGCCGGAACTCGATGGGATTGCCTTGTTTTTCTGGGTCTCAAAAGTTTTCCCCTTTGACAGGGTTTGGTCTTACTGCTTTTCTCTCTCTCTCTATTAGCGGAAAGTATTTGTGTTTTCCTTCTCCGACAGGTTTCCACCTTACACAGTTTCTTGCTTTTGCATATTTTACTATACTAGCAAGTGAAAAAATAAGGTGCAGAATCATACGAATAATTTGAATAGTATTTCTCCATCTGTGCTTACATTTGATAGACTATCTCCAGGATAAAGTGGTGCCTCATCTGGTGTCCCCCAGAGGAGCCCTAAAAAGAGGAGAGGGGGAAAGCTTCTCACCGTACCCCCTCTTGTACCTTTAGGAATCTGTGCCATGTGCCTTTAATTATCTAGCAATAATTTTCCCAGTGTTCTATAAAAACACTGAGCTGCTGTGGGGAACAGGGATGGAGGAGGGTGAACCGGCCTTTGGAAGGCCACAGCAATGATCCGGGGGCAGGGATCAAGCTGCCAAGCCAGTCACGGTCTGTTCCAGAAGGAATGTTCTGGAATGTTCCAGATGAAGCCCTTAGAAAGTTATGGGAGGCGAGGCCTGTACCTCCAATCAGCTCCTCAGGCCGTCCTCCCCAAGCCAGCTACAAGGTCTCCACCTCCACCCCCACATAAAAAGATCCCACAGCCTCCAACCGGCCATGTGGATAAAAGCTCAAGATGCTTCATGCTTCATCTGTAAAGGCATGAGCTGACTCATGTCCTGTCTCCTCCTCCCTCTCCCCCTCTTCCTCCCTACTCTGTATCCTATCTCCCCTTCCCTCCTCCTTCCCCCTCTTCCTCCTCCTTCTCCTGCCCATTCTTCTTCCTCTGCTCTTCCTCCCTCCTCCCCACTCCTCCTGCCCTCTCTTTCCACTTCCTCCTCCTCTTAGCCAGGCACACCGGCCTTCAAAAACCCAAACACATTGCCTTTGAGTTGATTCTGACTCATAGTGACCCTATAGGTTAGAGAAGAACTGCCCCATAGGGTTTCCAAGGCTGTAATCCTTACAGAAGCAGACTGCCACATCTTTCTCCCACGGAGCAGCTGGTGGGTTAGAACTGCATACCTTCCAGTTAGCAGTTGAGTGCTTAACCACTGCACCACCTGGGCACCAGCTTTTGGTCCCTCTGAAACACCAGCTCTCTCTGCTCGACACCTTCGCCCATGCTGTTCCCTCAGCCTGGGACTTCCTTCCCCAACCTTGTCACCACAGTGCTGTCCATTCTGAAGGTCTTGGTTTTCTTCCTGCACATAAGAAACATTGACCAGGCACCAACTCTGTGTCAGGCATCCTGCCAGGGCTTAGGGAGCGGAGGGTGAAGCAGAGGGTGAGGGGAGCCCACACCCAGCAGAGAAGGCAGAAATAAGGGAGTCTACAGAAACTAAATAATAAAGGAGTCTTTAAAGACTATTATGGATAGAATTGTGTCCCCCCAAAATGTGTATCAACTTCCCTAGGCCCAAATTCCCAGCATTATGTGATTGTCCACCATTTTGTCATCTGATGTGATTTTCTGAAGCCTTGTAAACACTACCTCTATGATGTTAATGAGGCAGGACTAGAGGCAGTTATGTTAATGAGGCAGGACTCAATCTACAAGATTAGGTTTTGTCTTAAGTCAATCTCTTTTGCGATATAAAAGAAAGAAGCAAACAGAGAGACACCGGGACCTCATACCACCAAGAAAGTAGTGCCAGGAGTAGTGCGTGTCCTTTGGACCTGGGGTCCCTGTGCTGAGAAGCTCCTAGACAAGGGGAAGATTGATGACAAGTATCCTCCTCCAGAGCCGACAGAGAGAGAAAGCCTTCCCCTGGAGCTAGCACCCTGAATTCGGACTTCTAGCCTCCTAGACTGTGAGAGAATAAATGTTCGTTAAAGCCATTCACTTTTGGTATTTCTGTTATAGCAGCACTAGATAACTAAGACAGAGACTAAACCAAAATAATAAAAAAATAATAAAGGCGTCTTTAGAGACTAAACCAAAAAACCAAGCCCATTGCCTTCAAGCTGATTCCAACTCATAGTGACCCCATAGGACAGAGTAGAACTGTCCCATAGGGCTTCCAAGGACAGCTGGTTGATTCGAACTGCCAACCTTTGGTTAGCAGTCGAGCTCTTACCCACTGCACCACTAGGGCTCCTGATTCCATATAGATAGTTCTTAAAAGAGCACAATGCTCAAGACAGACATTTTTCACTAGTTAAACCAGACTACTGTTTGGTTTTAAGAAGACTTTAGGGGATATTTTTGGTTTAAGGTTTAAAGATTATCTCAGGGCAATAGTTTCAGGGGTCATCCAGCCTCCATAGCTCCAGAAAGTCTGGAGTCCATGAAAATTTGAAAGTCTGTTCTGCATTTTTCCCCTTTTAATCAGGATTCTTCTATTGAATATTTGATCAAAATGTTCAGTTAATGGTAGCCAGGTACCATCCAGTTCTTCTGGTCTCATGGTAAAGAAGGCAGTTGTTCATGGAGTTAGTTAGCCACACACAATCCATTAGGACATTTTAAAAGGCGGTTAAAAAAAAAAGAGTTTTCGTCTAGTCGATTCCAACTCATGGTGACCCCGTATGTGTCAGAGTAGAACTGTGCTCCACAGGGTTTCTTGTTGCTGCTGCTTTCTTTAATTTTATTTATTTAGTTGTTGTTGAGAATATACACAGCAAAACGTACACCAATTCAACCATTTCTACATGTACCTTCAGTGACATTGATTACATTCCTCAAGCTGTGCAACCATTCTCACCCTCCTTTTCTGAGTTATTCCTCCCCCACTGACATAAACTCACTGCCCCCTAAGGTTCCTATCTAATCTTTCTGGTTGCTGTTGTCACTTTGACCCCATATAGATAGATCTTAAAAGAGCACAATGCTCAAGGCAGACATTTTTAACTAGTGAAGCTAGACTACTCTTTGGTTTTAAGAAGACTTCAGGGGATATTTTTGGTTTAAGCCTTAAAGCTCATCTCAGGGCAATAGATTCAGGGGTACATCCAGCCTCCATGGCTCCAGAAAGCTTGGAGTCCATGAGAAGTTGAAATTCTGTTCTGCATTTTCCCCCTTTTGATCAGGGTTCGCCTACTGAATCTTTGATCAAAATGTTCAGTGATGGTAGCTGGGCACTATCCAGTTCTTCGGGTCTCATGGCAAAGGCGGCAGTTGTTCATGGAGGTAGTTAGCCACACATTCCATATCTTCCCCTATATCTGACTCTCTTCTTCCTCTGTTGCTCCAAGTGAGTAGAGACCAATTGCCATGCTTTGGGTGGCTGCTTGCAAACTTTCAAGATCCCAGGCACTATGCAATAAACTAGAAGGCACAACAGAAGCATTAACACGTTACTAGGCCAATTAACTGGGATGTCCCATGAAACCATGACCCTAAAGATCCAAACTAAGGAACCAAATCCCGTGCGGTTTTTGGATGCACATAAGCAGTCTCAGCTGCTACTCTTTTTTCACTGCTGTTGTTATTGTAAATACATCTATCGCACGACTTTTGCCAATTCAACTTTTCACAGATTTTCAACTTATTGACAGCAAGTACAAGAATCGGCTGTGCAATCCTACCCTTATTCAATGTGATTTTTCCATTGTCATTAACCCCTCTACTTTCCCCCTCCCTCTCACCCACAATAACCAGTAATAAACTTTGTTCTCTATACATTTGCTTGTTCTTGTCTTTTTGTATAAGTGAGGTCATACAATATTTGTCCCTTTCTGGTTGACTTATTTCACCTAGCATAATGTCTTCCAGCTCCATCCATACTGTAGCATGTATCAAGACTTCATTTCTCCTACTGGCTGAGTAGTATTCCACTGTGTGTATGTACCACGTTTTGTTTATCCGTTCGTCTGTCGATGGGCATTTAGGTTGTTTCCACCTTTTCGCTATTGTGAATAGTGCTGCAATGGACGTTGGTGCACAAGTCTCTGTTTGAGTCCATAGGATTTTTTTTTTTTTAAACCAACAGAAATGTATTTTCTTACAGTCTAGGAGGCTAGAAGTCCGAATTCAGGGTGCTGGCTCTAGGGGAAGGCTTTCTCTCTCTGTCAGCTCTGGAGGAAGGTCCTTGTCTCTTTTTAGCTTCTGTGTCTCAGTCCCTCGGCCATCATCATGTGGCCTTGCATCTATCTTCCCCCATCTCTGCTTGCTTGCTTAATCTCTTCTTTCATATCTCAGAACAGATTGGTTTAAGACACACCCTACTCTAATACTACCTCATTAACATAACAAAGAAAACTCATTCCCACATGGGATTATAACCACAGGTATAGGGGTTCCATAGGGTTTTCAATGGCTGCTTTCTCACAAGTAGATTGCCAGGCCTTTCTTCTGAGGCACCTCTGAGTAGACTTGAACTGCCAACCTTTTCATTAGTAGCCCTGCTCTTAACTGTTTGCACACCCAGGGACTCCCAAAAAGGGTTAAAAAAAACCAAAGAAACAAAAAACTAAACCCTTTGTCGTCAAGTTGATTGCAACTCATAGAGATCCTACAAAACAGAGTAGAACTGCCCCATAGGGTTTCCAAGGAACAGCTGGTGGGTTCAAACTGCCAACCTTTTAGTTAGCAGCCATATCTCTTAACCACTGTGCCATGAAGGCTCCAAAAAGGGGTTACATGCTGCAAAAACAAAGAAATAGGATGATAGATCACGACTGAGTGGGGGCATTTAAATGTGGGGTCGGGAGGACCTTTGAGGTGGTAACGTTTGGTCTAAGATTTGAATAAGGAGAAGAAGCCCACCTTGTTAGGAACTGAGGAGACAGAACCAAGCAGAAGAACAGCAAGTTCAGGGGCGGGAATCAAGAGTTCAGTCATCAAAAAAAAAAAAAAAAAAAAAAACAGAGCTCAGTCACCAGAAAGAAGTCCAGTGCGGCTGGATGGCTGTATTTCAGGGAGTGAGAAGAAAGTGTCACTCTATGTGGCTGAAGAGGCAGGTCTGAGACAGGTACGATAGACTCTGTAGGGAGGTAAGCAGCCCTTCTTCCAGGAAGCCCTCCTGGACTACACCAGGCACCCTAGTCAACTGGTTGTCCCAACCCAGCCCTGTTCTCTCTAGGTTGCCACTCTCTGGTCACTGGCCTGTCTCCCTCATAGAACTGTGAGGGCAGGGCCAGTCACCACTGTGCCACCAGCACCAACCAGTACAGGCCCAGGCACACAGCAGGTGCTCAGTAAATACTCAGGCTACCCTGGTTCTGCCAGAAGCCCCAGGAAGCCTCATCTTCTCTCCCTCCCAATCTCCCTGCAGCCCACGCCTCTTCCCGGGCCCAGCCCAGGGGGTGCCGGGGTTCCCCACCCAGGCAGCCACGCTGGCTTCAGCCCAGCCTCTTTCATCTCAGCCTCAAATGCCCATCTAGGTAGCAGGACTCCTGGCTCCAGCCACCTGGGATGTGCTGCAGGCTCGAGGGAAGGCTCAGAAGTGGTCAGATCAAATGGACCCAGGCCTGGCCTCAGGCTGGGGCGGCCCTAGGGAAGGCGCAGAGGAGAACCAGGCTCCCAGGTGTGAACATGCAGGGGTGGGAGCAGCCGGGCAGGGCATGGAGCCAGCAAAGGGACCATCCGTCTTTCCCTCATTGTAATAACACGACGTTCTGTCACGGAAGACTCATTTTACAACACGCAATGGTCTCATTGAGACAGTAACGCAAATTATTAACTTGAATGGAGAGTTCCTTTGCCATCGAGTCGATTCCAACTCATAGCCACTCTACAGGACAGAGTAGAACTGTCCCATAGGGTTTCCAAGGCTGTAACCTTTACAGAAGCAGACTGCCATAACTTTCGCCCTCAGAGTGGCTGGGGGGTTCGCACCGCCAACCTTCCAGTTAGCAGTTGAGCACTTAACCACTGCACAACCAGGGCTCTTTTGAATGGGGAATATATGGAGGAAAATCCAAAAGGCCAAAGGATTATGGTAAAAAGTTGTTGTTGGCTGCCATGGAGTTGGCCTCCAACTCAGGGTGACCCTATGCACAGTGAAAAGAAACGCTGCCCGGTCCTGTACCATCCCCATGATCCACTGGGGATGAGACAGTTATGCTCCATAGGGTTTTCACTGGCTGATTTTCAGAAGTATATCACCAGGCCTTTCTTCCTAGTCTGTCTTAGTCTGGAAGCACCACTGAAACCTGGTCTGCATCATAGCAACACACAAACCTCCACTGACAGACGGGTAGTGGCTGTGCTGAGGAGCACCGACTGGGAATCGAACCCAGGTCTCCCACATGGAAGGTGAGCATTCTGTCACTGAACCACCACTGCCTCCTCTCTTCTGATAGGCTGTCTTTTTCTCAGTGAAGCAGGAAACAAGGTCCCCATTGAAAATGAACAGGAAGGGAGGAGGTGTAAGAGTTTGAGGAGAGAGAAGTGATACAAATGTCTAGGCGTCCTGGGAGAGAGAATGGGCTAGGGCTCTAGGATTGAATTGCCGGGTCACACTGAGCGCCCCCTTGAGGTTCATGGTCCTAATTTTTTTTTTTTTTTTTTTAGATTAAACCTTTAGAAACTTTTCTCACAACTTGATAGAGTAATTTTATGCTTGTTGAATATAATAATAATTTTTAAATGGGCTTGTAGTTTGTGTGTTTCCTTTTGATTTTTTTAAATTGTGATAAATATATATGTATGGTCCCTGGGTGGTGCAAACAGTTTGCACTCGGCTACTAACCTAAAGGTTGGCGGTTCAAACACACCCAGTGGT